CTGGCAAATTGATGAATTTTGATAAATTTAGAGTAAATTTGAATTTAATTAAATTGAACGCTTATTTTAAAAATCACGTGAGATGTTCATATCTTTTGGTACACTCCAAGCTCATTCTCTCGTAATGACACTCACTCGGCGCACTTCAGAATTGTAACGTGTATTGTCTTCATTATCGATATGAGGGTCATGATTCTCCCATCATTGCGGTCAGTATGCAGTCTCATACTGACATGCAAGTACATGTGTGTAGATTGGGGGATGCTTTGAAGTCATTGGCTCGACCCCATTACGAGAATGAGGTCGAGATGTTGTACATCACGTATTGAACATCATAATGGATTGTCTTTATCTATCTCGTTATCCGTTATGATGATGTTTGCTATTACTATTTATCTTACATCAGCCAATGCAACCTACGGGTTCTTCCTCTCATAACATCCCTCTTTCGACCCTACAAAATATTAATTCTTCGAGAGAGAGAGAGAGAGAAGGTATTAATTATTACAAAGCTTAACACGATAAGTCTATTCCTTGCAGCAAATCCCGACGTCGTGGACGAGCTCTTAGGAGTCGCAGATTCGCTCCTGAAATCCAGACCCATCCTGATAGTCCCGTCGAATCTCTAGACACAACCCCTGAGAAACCTTAAAGCGCGCTTAATGCACCTTGCATCAGTATCTTGCATCAAATGTAAACAGGAATATATATTAGATACAAATATGAATATTAAAAATCGATTTCATACCAAACGCGCTTGCGTGTTACTTTCATTTCTCATAGAAAAGAAAATTAATCTTCTCAATCAAGCTTATATATTCTCATAAGCAAGAATATAATCTTTATGTAAAGAATTTTTAGTCTTTTGAATTGAGCAAAAGTAAAGTACTTGCATCGATACAAATTTAATCGAATCAAAATTAATAAAAAAAAAAAAAGAATTATATTTTTGCTTATGAGAATATTTGTCTCGAGTTAAAATTAATTTTTTTTCTGTGCATATTTCACTCGCTCCTCTATCGATTTTCCTCATTGTGAAAGCCGAGAGAAGAAAATCGAGAGGCGCAAACACGCATGTATGAAATCGTTCATCTTCAACGAATACGAAAAAGTTCTATGGTATTAATAGTCAACTCTTTTTGTGCCCTTTCCAGTTATGGGCGTGAATACGCCGATCCCTACCTCGGACATGGCATCGGACCTGTGGCGGGTTATGGGGTAAGGAGGAGAGCTTCGATTACGAAGTGTACTTTTTTACGATTTCATTTAACGGGAGTGCCGTTAAATCGCGCGCGTAGATCTCGCGGGGAGAGAACGGTGCGCCCTGTTATTACGCCATAAATAACGGACATTAGAAAAGACCACCTCGGCCACGGCGCGTTTTACTCACGTATGAATTATTAATGTCGAGCATTTTCAACTTACGGAAACTGTGTCGTGGCGAAAGTTAATGGCTCATACTCCCGTTGCACGCATTTATCCTCGGTCCCCAATTGTCTGGCTCGCCGTCTCAGTCTGTGCGTAATGGAACGCGAGTCGTATTTTGTTAAAAGACGAGATGAACGAGGTGGGGTTGTAGATCGCGTTCGTACGGTGGTTCGATCATACGCTCTCGATAAACTCACAACTTTAACGGCGATAAATATAAAATAAACTTTCAGCTCGATTTTGCTTCTGAATGCACAATCCTGCGTTACATCGTGTAACGTCACGGTCGTAAATTTTGAACTCCGCGTGTAAAGTGCTGCTTTTACGTTATTTAGTATTTAGCGCCGTAAATTTTTCAGGTCCTAAAATACGATCTTAAAATAAACGATCCCATTTGGTGTTAAATACGTAAAGGCGACGATGGTTATTTATACGTCAGCACTGTGCACCGCATCGAAATTGTATCTAATAAATTCTTATTTTTGCAGGCAACGGTATACAGAGGTGGTTACAACAGGTTCACGCCATATTAAATGGATCGTTGATAGACAGAGCCCGAGAGCCTTCCAAGTTATACTCAGCAGAACATGACCAGACATAAAGCCGACATAATCATCACCGTCATTTTTTGCCATCATCCAGATCGCCCGAGAGACGACGAGCCTGGGCCTTCCATGCATGCTGACTCGCCGGTTTTGCTCCAATTTTATTCCAACTGATTTTGTGACCCGAGATCGTCGCGAAGGACTGAAATGCAATCGTTCTTAACACTCTAAAATTGTTCGATCAGAAAGAAACTGTTGTTAACGTCAACGGAACATTATCTGCGTCAAATGTTTAAATAATACTTAAAAATATATGAACGGCGAATGAAAGAAATAGACGAGAAAAATCGATCTGTAAACGCAGTGGTAAAACGCAGTGGTAGCGTCGAGGTCGACGCATCGAAGTGTCGAGTCGTGTTCGATTGGAAGTCGTCTCAAGTCACGTCCAAATTGCTCTTCTAATAGCCATTTGCAAGCAAGAACTTTCTATCCGATTCTGTTTTTATTTATGATCATTATGGTCTGAATAAATTAATACAAAGTTTTTATAAAGCAATAATACGAATAAAATGTGAGTACGAATGGAATAAAATTAATAGAATGCTTGCAGCATTTTCAAATTTTATTGCACAAAATTATTTTTGATAATGTCACGAGCATATTATATTTGTATTATTACATTTGTTACATTTGTTACACAGTTTCACCGATTTAATACGATTTCAAGCGTTTTTAATATTATGAATAATTTTTCGAGCCGCTAAATGAAATGTAATGTTATTAGTTAGAATTATTTTTTTCTTCTTTTGTTTATAGTTTCTGTAAATGTATTAATATTACGAGATGTGATGATCCGATATGATACATAATTTATGCACATTTACCGAAATACTTGTAACATAGTTGTAAATTTGTTGTAATTATTTCTCTGTTTAAGCTAACATTGCACAATACAATTTGCATTCGTAATCTAAATTAGCATATAACATCAGTAATTTGAATGGGCTATCAAATGGAAAAAGCCCTAAATATTTCGCACAAATATCATAGGACAATTTTACGCACATTATGTACTTAGATAATAAAACTGAGATGAGCAAATATGCGATTATTGAATGAATAATCTATCGCAAAATGAATGTAGTATACTTTGCTATAAAATTTAAACTTTTCTGCTGTAGCAGCGAGACATTGACAATTTCAGTCGACACGAATCGACACAAGGTGATCCGGAAAAGCGAGATCTTTAGGTAGCTAGTTAAAAAGAAAAAGAAAAAAACGACCTAGAAGGAAATAAAGGCATCCATGTGACCGGTAGGGTTTCTATGCCAAATATGTGTGTGTATGCGCTTTTGCACGCGTGTGTATGCGTAGGTTGCGAACCAAACTCTGTTCTCAGTAAATTAGAAGAATAACGGAAATGCGCGGAAGAAGAAAGAGACAAGAACCGCTTAGACCTTTAAACGATATGCCGGATTTTAATTACGCAGGATCTAGTCAAATTAATTTTCTAATTACAAAAAAACACATCTGTAATCTGCGCTTATTTTCTATAGTTTTATAGTTTATGTGTATCTCGATCCTGTATTTTCGCATTGCGCACTATTCGCATACATTTAAGCTTAAATTAATAATATTTCCAAATGGAAGTAGCAATATTTCGATCTGTCTCACATCTGATTGTTTTTATAACTTTGTTGAGCATTGAATACCAACACACGAGTGTATCTTCTAACAAATAACAAAGTTTGGAAGATTTGTTCTAGGGAAGATTTGCAAAGATCTATTTTTCAGTTTTAATTCTTTGAAATAGAGGCACAAACTTTTGCATTCGAGTTTCAAACTTGCATTAAATTTCTACGCATTAATTTCATCGCATTGTCTCGTCTGTTTTATAAAATAGAGAGATGAATTGTGCATTGAAAATGGCAAGTACGGTCATATTAGAATCTTATCAGTACCTCTTCTCTCTTTTTTTCTGGAGAAAAATCCGACATGAGTGCATCGTGCGATAATCTAAGCGTGTGCCACTTATTTATTCCTTAGTTAAGGACTGAACAGACATGACAATTTTCTTTTTATTACAGTAAATGTTAAGCAGAGTCCACTTTGTAATCACTAAGCGCAGAATCTCAATGCCAATGAGCAAGAGCATAGTAATAGTACATATACAAAAAATAGACTTGTAGAATGCGTCTCTTGGCGTGATCGATTTTGCAGGGCGCATCACGAACGCACGGGGCTCTGTCCGCGATGCTAAGTCGAGCTGCTATTAACCGGTAATAAGAATTATTATGCGAACGCTTCTTAACGTGGACATTACATACTCATCAGGTCGTTTCGGTTCCTCGATGTCGAAGAGACGCGCGCGTGCCTGTAAAACGAACTTGTCTTCTTGTCACGAAGAATAATTAGGTTCAGCTAAACGTCGACCCAATTGTAGCGAATTACATCGAGTAATCGAAAACGCCGATACGGATAGATATCTTCGTTCAAGTAGTGAATAGCGTTTTTCTTTCTCTTCCTTTTTTATCTTTTTTTTTTTAGTTGCAATGTCCATCAACATTATGTATTTTGATATTGAAATATGTATTACACGCAATTTTTGTATTTTCATGTAAGATTTTATAAAAATTATTTGGAAAGGATACATGATTTTTTATGTAAATATATTTTTTTGTTCTCTTTTTTCGGGATTATTAATTTATTCATAAGTGACTGTTTTATAATCAATTGCCAATCAATTTCGATTTCTATTCAGATCGGCGTTCTCGATCATTAGATTTCTTTCTCTTGTGACACTGCTTCCTGATTAAGTAGATATACCGGTATGCTATACAGAAAGTAAAAGATGCTCTATTTGAGAATAACGTGAAAAAGAAAAATGGTACGCACACTGAGTCGAATGAGTGATATCTCTGTTAAATTAATAGTTAAGCGAGGATTTATCGTATATTACATGTAAGAATAAAATACGTTGCGCCACGCTATATTGCGTACGATAGGAGTAGGACGTGTATGTGAACTGATGCAACTGAATGAACTGAAGGGAGTAAAAGGAGAAAAAAACGGAAGGGAGGAACAAAAGAACATAAGAAGTGTGAAATAGCCAAATATGACAAAGATGTTTTAGAAAGTACGGCAGGTAGTTTGGCCGTCGTTACGTTTTAATCTAATCTTCAATTAGGATTAGTCTAAGCTCTAGGACTCGAGAACGCTCGAGGCAGGACGATGATTTTTCTTTTCTTTTCTCTCGCGAGCGTGTACATGTACATAGATCAACTAGATTTTTCGAGCACAAAAATCGTGAAGGAGCGTGCCGAGGAACGCACTATAATTTAGGAAGTATTAAACAAGCAAACAGAAGAAGTCACTACACTCAGACATACTCATGATTCTCGTAAACATTAAAATTAATGAATGTAGAATAATTAATTGATTACACAGTGAATACGTAAAGCCAGATGAATTTTGGTGGTAGAACAAGTCGCGTGCTTATCGTACATAGGTGACGTAACGATTGTTAAGTCGAGAATCGCGAATCGTCGGTGTATATATATATATATATATATATATATACATACACAC